AAACTTAGTTATTGAAATCAAACTTTCATCGTATATCTGTAATAGACCGAATTCTCAATATAACTGTAAAACTCCTAAACTTATAAGAGTAGCACAAAATAAGCAATACATAATACTGACTGTTGTCTAAGCTTCTGTTAATAACGTTTACAAACGCTCGTGTAAACTTGTCCCGATAAGGTTTTTAATTAATTGTTTTGTATATCTGCATATACATTTGAGAATCAATCAGCGCGATTTGCACTTGTTTGGAGTCTGTGTTATTTTGAATAATAACCCGCATTGGATATTGGTTTGCACATCTTATTCTGTGAAATCACTGAGTGTTTGTGTTGCTGGTCCTATTCCCTAAAACTAAATGTCCAACAATGAAACACACAACTGTACTTGTTTTCTATAATGTAAACTGTAATCTGACAGCGACCAGGCTTAAGACGGTCTGTGAACTGTGTAATTCACGTGTTATAGCAGAATATAGTTTCACGCTGTTGCCCATGTGGTAAATATAGGTATATTCGAAGTCACAAATACTTTCAAGGGCTCTCTTTCGGATGAAATAATATTACATTTGAAACTCATATTAGTAATACAAGCTGCTATTTCTCCTAAAAATGGCAGAAAGTTAAATGTACGCTGCTAAAAATGGTCTATTTAATTAGTTTTATCCATATAAAATAAAAAAGAAATAGAACAATACAGGAATAGCATTATTATTATTAAATTCTCATATTGACGAAAATGTCCAATGCGCTTTTAATCTGTACTTTCTCAAAATACTAGAAAAGTCCAATATACAAATAGACACCCGACACTCATAAAGGCGTAAGTCGAAACATCGGGTACATTAAAAGTTTTATTTATCTGGAGCTTATTGTCGTATTTATCTTAATAATACCTTCTAGTCTCTGGTGTGCATTTAGATATAAATATAGTTAACTTCATAGGCGACAAAAACACAGAAATTAAAGAATAAGTTGCAAAATAAGCAAAATCGATTTTATAATCTATCTATCAAGCATAACCCGATCTTTGTAAATGTTGATCAGGAAGTTAGAAATATTCTACTAACTGCTAAACCTTTAGAAATACACTAACCTTTATATCAGTGTTTAAGACATTAAAATACTCTGCTAATCACTAAACCATCTTAAAATTATTCTAATCTTTGTAACTGTTGATCAGGAAGTTAGAAATATTCTACTAACTGCTTAACCTTTAGAAATATACTAACCTTTATAAGAGTGATTAAGACATTAAAATACTCTGCTAGTCATCGAGACTGTTAGAAATATACTAACGTTTATTGCATTGGTTAAGATGTAAAATATTCTCTGCTATTCTCTATAACTGTTAGAAACGTTACTAATCTTTGTAGCAGTAGTTAGGACGTTAGAGAATCTCTAACACCAAAATCGTTTTAAACATTCCTAAACACATACGGTAGGGAAATATTAATTTTGAACCAAATTAAAACATTTGCAAATTCGTGCACATTCTTGTTGGGCACACGAATCTGTGCTTTACTCATATATATATATATATATATATATATATATAT